GAGCTATCAAATCACTCCTGTTACAGTAATTCTTACTAAAATGAAAAAGAAAAAAGCATTGGTAAAGATGTAAAGAAAATGCTTGCACACTATTGGTTAGAATGTAAATGAGGACAACCATTTAAAAAAACAAAATAGAGATTTCTGAAAACAATTTAAAATCAATCTACCATATAATACAGCAATTGTACTTTTAGATATATATTCAAAATAAAATAAGAATGAACAAATACTTGCACTTCTGTGTTGTTTGCAGCACTCTTCACAATAGCCCAATTATAGAATCAACATTTCAGCATCTAATACATACATGAATACAAGATGGTATATATACAAAACGGATTATTTATCTTTAAAAAATTCTGGACTAATCTGAAAGAGATTAGTTGAATTAAGCCAGTCACAGAAAGACTAGTAGCTCATGATTCCACTTACACATGGATTCTAAAAAACTTAATCTCATTGAAGTACAGAGTAAAATAGTGACCACCAGGTGCCAAGGTATTTAGAAGAAAAAGGGGGTTGGAAAAATGTCTGTCAAAGAATACACAACTATAGTTGCATAGGAAGAATAAGTTCAAGAGATTTATTGTACAACATGGTGAATATAGTGCATAATAATGTATTTGTATTTTTGAAAAATGCTAAGGCAATGCCATGTAGTCTCACCACAAAAATGTTAACTCTGTGAGTTAAAGCATTTATTACATATGACTAAGCATTTGACAATGTATATATACTTCAAAATATCATGTTTTAAAGAATAAATACCCATTTCACCTACCAAGTTAAAATAATATTTTTAAAACTTTACAGAAAGTTAACAATATTGCAAATATGGTCTGTATTTGTCATAAACTTGCCTGAATAGTACTAACAATATATAGCTTTGTGCTGTTTTGTCATTTGTCAGTTATAACCATAGAAACTCTAATAGTTTACATCATGTTCTGGACATAGCACAGTGCCTGGGAAAAGCCAGTGTACTTTTGGGCCTTTACTTTAAGTCTGGGACACCTGGAGTTTCTGGTGATGATGGTAATGAAATAAAAGACAGTAAAGGGGCAGGCATTGCTGGTGGTCCTATGACTGGCCACTCTGTGAACACAGCAAGCAAGTTTACATGCAAAGTAACAGAAAATCTTTCAATTCAAAAACTGACATAATCTTCACGTTTTCCAGAGAAAATAGCCAAGGAATTGGCTACAGTTAGGTTACTAAGTATAAAAACTGTATGCTAAACTTCACCCAATAAAAAAATTAAATAAAATAACAATGAGAAATTCCTTCAAATTGCAATATCAATATCAAAAATTATTCAAATTTAAAATCTACAGAGGTAACTTTATTATTTTGCAAATTTTAACATTCATACTTAAATATAGAAAATTTTGCATGGAAACGTAAGTTGTACTACATCACGAAACATTAAAAATTCCTTACTTACCATTAACTGTTAGAAATTTAATTTCTAAGATATATTTTATATTTGACACATTTTGTGTAAGAATTTAAAAAGTTTTTAAAAATAAAATAAAAATTAAAAACAATGCTAAATGATTTAATTCTCTCCCCTGTGGACAGTGTATGCCTTTATCTTTATCTGATGTCAAAATTATATTGATAAGCAAACTCTCCAGTTAAAACCAACTTTTAGTACATTAAAAATACCAACTTCTGGGCTGTGAGCAGTAGCTCATGCCTGTGACCCAAGCACTTTGGAAGGCCAAGGTGGGCAGATAACCTGAAGTCAGGAGTTTGAGACCAGCCTGACCAACATGGAAAAACCCTGCCTCTACTAAAAATACAAAATTAGCCGAGCCTGTTGGTGCATGCCTGTAATCCCAGCCACTCAGGAGGCTGAGGCAGGAGAATCACTTAAACCCAAGAGGCGGAGGTTGTGGTGACCTGAGATCACACCATTGCACTCCAGCCTGGGCAACAAGAGTGAAACTCCATCTCAAAACAAAACAAAACAAAAAAACAACTTTCTCATCAGAATCTACAAAGTACCATGTGAAATGACATGGCATAAAAATAATAGTGAGAACACTGTAGCCATAACAGAAAAAGAAGGTCTGTGATGTATACATAGTTGGAATACACATAAGACAAAAAAACTGAAGATAATCAGCAAATAAAAGCAGAATTTATCTTCAAATTCAGCACGTGTCAGCTGTGCAGCCTGGAAAAAATGTTCTCTCCACATAAGAATCAATGTTATTTCTTCACCATTGATATTTTCCATCTCTGACTTGAACTTGCAAACTAACTCCAGCAGACATTTTGGAGCATCTGTTACATGAGAAGCAGTGTCATGTTTATTTGCTACATTAATATATCAAAACATTCTTGCCGGGTGTGGTGGCTCACCCATGTAATCCCAGCACTTTCGGAGGCCAAGACTGTTGGATCACCTGAGGTCAGGAGTTCAAGATAAGCCTGGCCAACATGGTGGAACCCCATCTCCACCAAAAACAGAAAAATTAGGCAGGTGTAATGGCAGGCACATGTGATCCCAGCTACTTGGAAGGCTGAGACAGGGGGACTTGTTTGAACTTGAGAGGTGGAGGTTGCAGTGAGCTGAGATCATCCCACTGGACTCCAACCTGGGTGACAGAGTAAGAATACATCTCAAAAAACAAAACAAAACAACAACAGACAGAAAAAAACAAAAAAAGAAAAACCCCAAATCCTCATGACTCCCAAGTAGTTACCTGAATACATTGGCTCAACAGATACATTTACTTATGTCGATTTTAAAAAGTGAAAGGAAAAATAACTAAAGAATGGTAAGCTTATAGAAGGTTCTCCAATTGAATGCAATGAAATGCTCTAACTAAAAAAGTACAAGTATACTAATTATGAAATTACATCTAAAAATTATTTCATGTGCCCTACTAAATTTTATGAAAATTACTTACTAACCAGTTCACGATGAATACCTCTTATACTATAAAACAAAAAACAAATTATAAGAAACAGGAAAAGTATGGGTCTGTACAGTAATGAATTAAATTAAAAGTATAGATTTGCATTCAGCATTCTTGATGTTTTTAGTTTTCTAGTAAATTAGTCACCTTATTAAAATAATTTGTTTTTTTCTAATATTGCTTTTTTTCTGAAAATAGGTAAAATTCATACACACACAAACACACTTACTCTACGATTCTATTACAATTAAGGTATATCATTAGACTAACATGTGTATATTTAACTTTATGTGAATCAAAACTCAAAGCCTGTATGTGTTTGCAGGCAGAGAGTTCACATGTTCAAAGAAAAATATATAATACATTTAAAAAAATACTTCTTCAGGACTTAGAAATGTATAGATTTTCTTTATATTTCTCTATGATTTTTATTATGACCATAAAAATAAAAGCTACAGCAGGAAGTAATTTGTGAGTTGAATTATATCATTATTAACTTTCAAAAAAAAACTAAGTTTTTTCAATGAAGATAGCATACTTTGAATGCAATTGTAACTCTCCAATTTTCTTCTTTTAAAGTTACATACAAATAATTTACCTAACAACTTTAGTTTTGGGTAATTTTCTACACTCAACACTCTGATTTAGTGTAATGTCTCGAGGGTCAGTGCCTTAGTTGAAATTTCAACTGTGAAATATCTGATGTTGACATACACCTAATTTTGAAGTAAATGTCTTTTTCATATTTACTGCATCTGTAAAAACATATTTTACTATAAACTCTCTGGTCTTGTTTTAGCTGCCATTTTTAAACAATTCTTCATTCAAAATCATTACATTTATTAGGTTTTTCTCCAATATGAATTCCCTGATGTGGAACAAGTTTTAAGAAACTGTTTCAGGGTTTTCCTCTAATACAAAATCTGCACAATAACATCTATGACACAAGTAATCGTACTATAACCCCCTTTATATATGTAATGTTTGTCTTCAGAATGAATACTCTTCTTCACTTAAATGGCCTGTATTTTCTGAAAGATATTTTGACAGTAATTGCACTTACAATGCTTTTATTAAGTAGGAGTTCTTGGATGTTCATTAAGATATGAGCAGATATCAATGTCTTTTCCATGTTCTTTATAGTTGTACAATTTTTTCTCAAGTCTAAATGCTTTCTTGTGCAATAAAATGTGAGCACTAGTTAAAAGTCTTGTCACCTTCTTCACACACGTAGTTTTTTACAGTATGAATTATCTTACCTACAATTAAGAGTGACAACCATTTAAAGGCTTTGACATATTCTTCACATTTCTGGGGTCTGGGACCACTATGATTTATATTTTCAAAAGTTTGAGGTGGGTCGGGCATGGTGGTTCATGCCTGTAATCCCAGCACTTTGGGAGGCCAAGGCAGGTGAATCATGAGGTCAGGAGATCAAGACCATCCTGGATAACATGGTGAAACCCCGTCTCCACTACAAACTACAAAAAATTAGCCGGGTGTAGTGGTGGGCGCCTATAGTCCCAACTTCTCATGAGGCTGAAGCAGGAGAATGGCATGAACCTGGGAGGCAGAGCTTGCAGTGAACTGATATCATGCTACTGCACTCCAGCCTGGGTGACAGAGCGAGACTCTGCCAAAAAAAAAAAAAATTTGAGGTGTTGTTAAAAGCATTGCCCCATCTTTAAGGTTTGTAGAGTTTTTCTCCAATATAAATTAGTTTATGTCTGCTATGAATTGAGGGCTCATAGAAGGCTTTGCCACATTCTTCGTGCTAGTAGGATTTCTCTCCAGTATGAATTGTGTGTAATAAGTGTTGAGAAATTGTTAAAATTTTGTCCCATTTTTCACATTTGTTGGGATTCTCTCCAGTATGAACTACCTTATGTTTAGTAAAGGATAATAATACACTAAAGGATTTGTCACATTCTTAACATTAGTAGAGTTTCCATCCATTGTGTATTATCTAATGTTTTGTAAGGCTTAAGGACCAGTTAAAAACTTTCCCACATTCATCACAAGTGTAGGGTTTCTCTACAGTGTGAAGTTGCTTATGGTTAGTAAGGGTTAAGGACTGGTAAAAAGCTTTCCCACATGCTTCTGTATGAATTCTTTTATGTTTACTAAGGGCTGAGGATTCACAAAAGCCTTTGCCACATTCTTCACTTTTGTACAGGGTTTCTCTTCAGCATTAATTCTTATGTTAAGTAAAGGCTGAGAATACACCAAAGCCTTTGCCCCACTGTTTACATTTGTAGGGTTTCTCTGCAGTATGAGTTGCCTTATGTGTAATAAGGATTGAGGACCAGTTAAAGGCTTTGCCACATTCTTCACATGTGTAAGGCTGCTATCCAGTATGAATTCTCTTATGTCTAGTAAGGTTCCAGTAATAGTTAAAATATTTTCCACATTCTTCACATTTGTAAGGCTTCTCTCCAGCATGAGTTCTCTTATGTACACTAAGATTTGTTGGCTGGTTAAAAACTTTGCCACATTCTTCACATTCGAAGGGAGTATCTCCACTATGAATTCTCTAATGTTTAGTAAGGGTTGATGGGTGGTTAAAAGCTTTGCTACATTCTTCACATTTGAAGGGTTTTTCTCCACTGTGAATTCTCTTATGTGTGGTAAGGGATGAGGAGTCACAAAATGCTTTGTCACATTCTTCACATTTGAAGGGTTTCTCTCCACTATGAATTCGCTTATGTTTAATAAGGGTTGATGACTGCTAAAAGCTTTCCCACATTGTTCACATTTGTAGGGTTTCTTTCCACTATGAATTCTTTTATGTTTAGTAAGGGTTGATGGTTGGTTAAAAGCTTTGCCACATTCTTCACATTTGAAGGGTTTCTCTCCAGTATGAATTATCTTATGGTTATTAAGGACTGAGGAGTGATTAAATGCTTTTCCACATTCTTCACATTTGTAGGGTTTCTCTCTACTATGAATTCTCTTATGTTTAGTAAGGGTTGATAAGCGGTTAAAAGCTTTGCCACATTCTTCACATTTGCAGGGTTTTTCCCCACTATGAATCCTCTTATGTGTTGTAAGGGATGAGGAGTTGCAAAATCCTTTGTCACATTCTTCACATTTGAAGGGTTTTTTTCCACTATGAATTCTCTTATGTGTTGTAATGGATGAGGAGTCACAAAAGCCTTTGTCACATTCTTTGCATTTGAAGGGTTTCTCTCCACTATGAATTCGCTTATGTTTAGTAAGGGTTGATAGCTGGTTAAAAACTTTGTCACATTCTTCACATTTGAAGGGTTTTTCTTCAGTATGAATTCTCTTATGGTTAGTAAGAATTGAGTAGTGATTAAAAGCTTTTCCACATTCTTCACATTTGTAGGGTTTCTCTTCACTATGAATTCTCTTATGTTTAGTAAGATTTGATGGATGGTTAAAAGCTTTGTCACATTCTTCACATTTGTAGAGTTTTTCTCCACTATGAATTCTCGTACGTGTAGTAAGGGATGAGGAGTCACAAAAGCTTTTGCCACATTCTTCACATTTGAAGGGTTTCTCTCCACTATGGATTCTCTTATGGTTACTAAGGACTGAGGAGTAATTAAAAGCTTTTCCACATTCTTCACATTTGTAGGGTTTCTCTCCATTATGAATTATCTTATGTACAGTAAGTTTACACAACTGGTTAAAAGTTTTGCAACATTCTTCACATCTGAAGGGCTTTCCTCCATTATGAATTCTCTTATGTGTGGTAAGGTTTGAAAACTGGTTAAAAGCTTTGCTACATTCTTCACGTTTGAAGGGTTTCTCTCCACTCTGAATTCTTTTATGTTTAGTAAGGTTTGAAAACTTTTTAAGCGTTGCCACATTCTTCACGTTTGAAGGCTTTCTCTTCCCTATGAATTTTCTTGTGTTTATTAAGGTTTGATGACTGGTTAAAAGCTTTGCCACATGCATCACATTTCTAGGATTTCTCACCAGTATGAATTATTTTACATATAGTAAGGTTTGATGACTGGTTAAACACTTTGCCACATTCTTCACATTTGTAGGATTTCTCTCCAATATGAATGCTCTTATGTGTAGTAAGGGGTGAGGACTGGTTAAAGGTTTTACCACATTCTTCACATATATATGGTTTCTCTCCAGTATGAATTATCTTATGTGTAGTAAGCTATGAGGACAGGTTAAAGGCTTTGCCATATTCTTCACATTTGTAGGAATTTACTCTAGTATGAATTCTTTTATGTTGAATTAGGGGTGAAAACATGCAAAATGATTTGTCACATTTGTTACATTTAAAAGGTTTCTTTTTAGTATATCTTATGTCTTATCTTACATCTATTTGAATTTGAAAATTTATAAAAGACTTTTACATATTTATAACATAGAAATGTTTTGCTCTGAGTAGCTGTCAAACATTTGTTAAGTTTCTCATAAACTCTTTTGTGCATTTTACAATCATCCACACTTTTACTGTCTTTTCTTAGTGGTAAATTCTCATCCCCACATTTTCCATATATTCTCAGTATCACTTTTTGAAATGAATTTGTATGTTCTGCTCTGGCCAAAGGTCTTGGGCAAAATAAGAAAACATAACTAAAAAAATTAAAAGTAACAAATTACTCCACTTGATACACTAAGGTTTGTATACTCTATGAATCTAAATGGTAAAATTACACAAACTACATGAGCAAGATGGCATAGAAAAGTACCATAATCTCTAATTCCTTCATAGACATATAAATTCAACAAAAACACACTGAACAAAATACATTTGTGAAAGATTTATAAATGAGTTACTTGTATGCAGTACCCCAGGTGAGCACAATGCAAAGAGTCATATAGAAGGAAAAGTCTGTAACATTTACCCAACAAAGCTCTTCCTGCTCCCCAAACATAATATAGTGCCTTTTGAAGTAGATTGCCAACTCCTGTTTGCTTTTTTCAAAAAAAAAAAAAAAAACACACACACACACACACAGAATAATAGTGACACATACATTTTATTTCTGGCTTCTAAGAGTCTTTTCACATACTGGTTTCTGTCTCTCGCGGCATTAAGTACTAAAAGAAGTGGTGGCTAATATGGTTTGGTTCTGCATCCCCACTTATACCACATTTTGAATTGCAGCTCCCATAATTCTCATGAGTTGTGGGAGAAACCTGGTGGGAGGTAACTGAATTATGGGGCCGGGTATTTCCTACGATGTTTTCGTGATAGTTAACAAGTCTCACAAACCATCATTCTAAAGAATACCGCTGTAGTAGTCTATTCTCATGCTGCTAATAAAGACATATCCAAGACTGGGTAGTTTATAAAGAAAAAAGCTTCAATGGACTCACTGTTCCACATAACTGGGGAGGCCTCACAATCATAGCAGAAAATAAAGGAAAAGGAAAGTGACATCTTACATGGTGGCAGATAGAGAAAGGGCATGGACAGAGCAACTCTCCTTTATAAAAACTAACATATTTTGTGAGACTTGTCCTGAAAAAAATATCTGTTAAGTGAGAAGAATACCAACAACAAAACTATTCTACCACATAAAAAGAAAAAACCTTCCAAACAACATAATTCTGAGAAAGTATATTGGCACTGCATGTGCCCCACATATCAAAGATGATCAAAAGAGTTCCTTTCACTGAAAATAACATGATGCAAGAAAACAACACCTGATAACCATCGTTCTGGGAAAGATATGCACATACACAAAAACAGAATTCCATAATTTTATCATAATGGTGCAAAAAACATTTTAAATTATTCTTTAAAATTTTAAAGAGAAAAGCATAGAAATTTTTGTAAACATCTGTTAATGAATGTACAACATAAAGAGATATAATTAGCAACATAAATAACAAGTGAGAGCAAATGTAATGAAGAAGAATACTTGTTTGCAATTGAAGTTAATTTTTTACAAGATTAAAGTATATTGTTGTATCTTTTAGAGGTTTTATGTAATCCCCAAGGTACCACAAAGAAAATATCTGTATAGATACACAAAAGAAAATAAGAAACTGAAAGCATATTAATACAGAAATTAAAAAGACACAAAGACCAGAAAGAGAGGAAATGAGCAACAAAGATACAAGAATCAAATAAAAGAAATAATAAAATAGCATTAGTCCTTCTATTTAATTATACATACACACACACAAGTATATATATAACTTTCCAATCAAGAGACATACTTTCAATAAAGAGATTTATATAACATATTTTAAAAATGAAGACCCAGCTTGCCTTTCTATAAGTCATTTCAGATTTAATGGAAGACAATTAAAAACTTGAGAGTGGCAAAATAGAAGTAGATGTTTCATGCAAATATTAACAAAATGGTAGAACAGCTCAAAATAATATACAAGGTATATCTTAAGTCAAAAACTATCGTATTTTTAAAAATTTACTTGAAGTCCAAACTACAAAGATACAAAGAAAGGTATTAAGTAATAACTGATTCATTCACTAGGAACCTATGACAATTTTTTATGTACATTTGTGTATGTACATATATCACATTAAGGTTAAAAGTATATGAAGCAAATATTGACAAAACTGAAGAATCACAGAGCATATATTAGTAGGATACTTCAATACCCAACATTCTATAATAAAAATGAAACAAGACAGAATATTGGTAAAGAAACAGAGGACCTGAAGGCAGTATAAAACAATTATTCCTAACAGAGGTATAGAGAACGCTCCTCAACAACATCAGGATATACTCATCTCAATACCTCATACAACATTCTCCTTCATAGACCACTTCTTAGGCTAAAAAATAAGTCTTAACAAGATTTTTAAAACAGAATTTTTAAAAATTACTATCATCAAAATGGAATGAGAGTATAAAACCATAAAAAACTGAAAAGTTCAGAAATACATACAAATTAAACAACAAACTCTTTAACATGCTATTGTTGAAAGGTTGAAATAATTAATAAGTAAGAGGAATCATACTCGCTCAATGTAACCAGACAAATTTAATGTGCAATGCTTTCTGGAAATCACACGGCATTCCTTGAAGTAATGCAATTTCCTGTTACCAAAATCATTCCAGCGTAGGGTATAATCTCAAAATACTCGGAATATCTACCCAGTTTTCAAAAACCAGAAAATATTCTAACTATAAAGAGTAAATTTTAATGACTTAGGCAAAAAAGAAATCCGCCAGCCACAAAAAAGACAGGTTGGACCAATGGTATAAAATGACATGAAGTAGGGCCACCACTGTCAGAAATAGAAAAATTCATGCTGTGAAATGCTGTATGCGAGATTTGGCTTTGCAAGAATAAAAAAAACCATTCTAGCAATATGTACATAGCATTCAATGTAATTACTGACCCAAAATTGAATGTTTAATATATTGTATTCATAAATTTTGTTATCCGTTTCTGAGCAAGAAGAAATGAACATACGTAGAATAGATTCAGATATGTGATGAGTTTATAAAATTATCTTCAAACGCTAAGATTTTCCCTCGCCAAGTCGGCCAGCAGCAGCGGCTGCACACCTGTAATCCCCGAGCAACCATTGGGATTGCCGAGTTGGGCAAGATCACGATGTCAAGAGATCAAGACATCCTGGCCAACATGGTGAAACTGCATCCTAAACTAAAAA